ATGAAATCATCCAAAAACACTGAGGAGAGTTTGAAAGTTCTGAACCCCAAAATAAGATTTGGACCCCCGAACTTCATACACCTCCGTGTTCAGCGAACTCTCCCCTTCGAGGGGACATATGCTGTGTCCTGGTTCAAAGCGTGGTTCTTGTGCCAGCTGCTCCAAAGTGAGGCACCCTCAGGACAATCATACAGGCAGATACTGGGGCCAAGCTGTACCCCAAAAGAATCTTTGGACCACACTGAAGGACTTATCCCCATGCTCTGGGGACTATCCCCTGCAAGATGACATGCAGTGGAGCCCGGTTCAAACACTGGTTCCAGAGCCACAGGCTTCCATTTCAGATGCACGCAAGAATCCTGTATTAAAAAAAAAAAAGAGATTTGAAAAAGGAACTGGTTTGACTGTTTGCCCACTACATCCCGGAATAAGGTTTGGACTGCCACATGTCATACACCTCCATGTTCAGTGAAATCTCCCCATCGAGGAGACGTATTCTGTGTCCTGGTCCAAAGCGTGGTTCTTGTGCCAGCTGCTCCAAAGTGAGGTGCCCCAAGGGAAGTCACACAGGCAGACAGTGGGGCCTGGCCGCACCCCAAAGCAATCTTTGAACCACCCCAACTGAAACATCCCCACACTCTGGAGACTGTCTCCTGCAAGATGACATACAGTGATGCCCGGACCAAATACTGGTTCTGGCGCCACAAGCTTTTATTCAGAGTGCCTTCCAAAGGCCTGTATTTCAAAGAAGATTTGAATAAGAAAGTGCCCTCTGTACCCAAAATGAGCTTTAGACCTACAAACTTCATACACCCGCATGTTCAGTGGACTTTCCCCTTCGAGGGAATGTATGCCATGTACTGGTCCAAAGCACAACTCTTGTGCCAGCTTCTCCAAAGTGCGGTGCCCCAGGAAAATCACACAGGCAGACACTGGAGCCAAGCTGCACCCCAAAACAATCTTTGGACCACCCCAACTGACACATCCCCATGTTCCGGAGACTGTCCCCTGCAAGATGACATAGAGTGATGCCTGGTCCAAACACTGGTTCTGGCGCCACGAGCTTCTATTCGGAGTGCCTCTCAAAGGCCTGTATTTCAAAGAAGTCTTCCTGTGTGACTGCCCTGGGGGCACCACACTTTGGAGAAGCTGGCACAAGAACAGTGCTTTGGACCAGTACATGGCATATGTTGACTCAAAGGGGAGAGTCCGCTGACAATGGGAGTGTATGGCATATGGTGGTCTAATCTTTATTTTGGGTACAGGGGGCACTTCCTTATTAAAATCTTCTTTGTAATACAGGCCTCTGTGCGGCACTCCAAATACAAGCTCGTGGTGCCAGAGTCGATGTTTGGACCGGGCATCACTCTATGTCATCTTGCAGGGGACAGTCTCCAGAACATGGGGATGTGTCTGTTGGGGTGGTCCAAAGATTGTTTTGGGGTGCAGCTTGGCTCCAGTGTCTGCCTGTGTGATTTTCCTGGGGCACCGCACTTCAGAGAACGTTAGTTTTTTCCCACCATAGAGAACAATGGAGGGGATGAGGGCAACCTGTTTGGGGGACCGTACAATTGAACTCCCTGGTACAATGTTCTTGAAACGTGGTGGGTATCTTGGGGAGAGGCTCCAGCAGCTACCCTGTGATGCTGGAGCCTCTCCCTCAAGCCACCTCCCTTCCAGCCCCCTAGAGTATACCCTATGTTTTCGCCATTGACTTCAATGGCCCATAGGATATAATGGGGCCGAAATTGACATTCGGCTGGTGGAAAGACTCCCTGATCAGCTCCTACTGCTGAAATCAACTCGTGGGAGTCTTTCTACCACCTGAAATTGATTCTGCCCGATTCGGCCGCCAGCCCAGGATGGAGCCTGTGGGGCTGCTGACAGGTGGGGAAGTTGTGGGGCCTTGGTAGGAAGTCGGGGGGGGGGCAGACCCCAGAATGCTTCAATGTAGCTACGGGCCTGTCCCTAATTCTGGACTTCAGGATCAGGTGAATATCACCCTAATTTAAAACCAGCCCCCTTCTTGTCACTATCGATCACCTCTCTGTTTCTTAGCTCTGTGTTTGTTGATCTGTTGTTATTATTTTGTGTGAGTGAGTTGTATGAACGTTGCATTTATTCACAATAAAACTCCATTTATTAAATCAAAAGATCTCTGCTTCCTTCCACTCTTGCAATCTTACCCTCATATACATAGAGTATCAAAGAACCCTTATACACATGTACTGCCGTGCATGTCTGCAATCAGACCCAGGCAATCTGTGTAACAGACAAACAAGGATAAAATTGGGAAAAGCCATGTATGCCATGCTGACACAGAAGGATCAATTTGATATTTAAAAATTGGCCAGAAAGCAGAGTCAGGAGTAAGAACATGGAGCAACATGAGCATGTCTGGGGATGAGTGGAAAAATCTGGAAAATCAGAGACAGAATTTTGCACGTAATAGGAGAAAACTGAGAGAATTTAGTGGTTTCTGGTCAAAGACTGGTACAGAGTTTGGATTTTGCAGCTAGCTTCGACCATGTAAGATACTGGGTGGCTGGTAACCCTACTGCAGGATCTTTGGAAGAAGGTTTGTGTAATGTATTCATCCCCGACCGTGCGCGACTAGGTCGCCATGCGGTTGGGTGAAGCAGCCGAGCTTCGGTCATGAGAACAAAGGGTCAAGCGGATCCTAACCCGCACCTATCGGAGGGCTAGGCTCCCAGCCGAGGATCTATGGAACTCTCGGCCACTGTAAAATAGCCAATCACTGGTGTGGGGGTGTGTTTAGGGTGTAGAACTGGAGCACATATAAACCGGCCTGCGAGCTGGTTAAGGTTGTCTTATTCTGAATGAAGTAAAGGTATGCTGAGCTGAAATCACTCTCCGTCTGCATACTTTTCAGTTTGTATAAAAATGTATGAACTTATTTCAAGTTCATAAACCGGCCTGCGAGCTGGTTAAGGTTGTCTTATTCTGAATGAAGTAAAGGTATGCTGAGCTGAAATCACTCTCCGTCTGCATACTTTTCAGTTTGTATAAAAATGTATGAACTTATTTCAAGCTCATCACCTGTGATGAGTTGTAATCAGGGCTGCCAGTTCTCCACTGGCCAGCAGCAAAGGATGTGGGGTCAGATCCAGGTTGGGAAGCTCCTGGAGATTTGGGAATGGAGCGCGGGGAGGACACGGACCTCAGTGGGGTACAATGCCAGAGAGTCCACCCCTCCAACCCATCTATTTTTTGCAGGAGAACTGTTCTCTGAAGTCTGGAGATGAGCTGAAGTCTGGAGATGAGCTGAAGGCTGGAATCACCTCCTGGCAAGCAAGCAGAGACTCTGAGCAGATATTGTTTTCCCCACCCAAGCAATTCACAAGTTGCATATCTGAAACATTCTTAACCCAACCATCAGCTAAAAGAGGAAGAGTTGGTGAGCCAAAGTTGAAATACACTATTTAAAGATTTAAAACTACCAAAACCCAGCAAATTAATTAAGGTTTCAGCTAGTAAAAATTCTGCTGTGATTGTCACTGATTGATATTATTTTTAAATATATTTTTTAAACTCTGTTGTGTGACAGGGACTTTAGGCAATTTGTTTGTAAATTATCTCTATATTGCAGACCTGATTAAGTAAGCTCTGACTCAAAAGCTTATGCTAGAATAAAATTTTCTGGTCTTTAAGATCCTATTCAACTGGACTCCTGTTTTAATTTCCCAGCCTGGAGTTGGGAACACTTGAGAGATTCATGTAGAGTTCAGGAGAAGGCAGCCCTCATCAGCCAGCCAGGGCGAAGGCAGGGCCGCTTGCATGGGCAAACAATGGATACAGAGAACTGGACACAGAAGATGCGCTCCCTCTAGTATGTAACTCCTGACATCTTATCCCAATCCTTTACACAATTAAGGGGAAATGTCTTTTCTAAGCTTAAATAATAGTGAGACAGGGAAATTTACCTCAGAAGGCGCATGCTTTCTCAGCGGCCAGTTCCTCTCCTTTCCTAATCTTTTCACACATAAATTTCCTTTAGTTAACCATGATTACTTTCACTGTTATTTGGGATTTAAAAGTGGTTCCAAGGATTAGCCTTTGTGAACTGCTGCTCAGTTTCAGTTTACATTGTCATTTGCTACTATGTTTTATGATTACCATTGTATGTTAAATTGATGACAAAATTATTAAAATAATTAACGTGATCCAATATCGCATATATAGAAAAGTCTCAGACTTGCCAGGAATGTCAGCTTTCTTAAGTAGGCAACCCCGTGTTGCTCAAAGGGCCCTTTTGTGAATATGAGTCAAGTCTGACCTGGCCCAAATTCATGGCAGAAGGGTGAGTGAAGCCGTTCACCTGCAGCAAACTGGGGGTTGACTCTGGTTGCACAGAACTTAGATCCTCATCTAGCCTTCTGGGTGCTGGGAGGTGATGCCTTCACTGTCCCCTCTGTCTCGTGGTGCTTCATTCTCTAAAACCTGGCTGTAGGACCACAGTTTTACTTCATCATTGATCTACCACACCTCAGGTTATATTTTTACAACTCAGTTGTTTCACCTATTTTCAGCAGCTTTGGATTCAGCATCTGCCTAAAGGCATTGTCTGCCAAATTCCACATAGATCAACAGAATTCAGAATCTGAACCTATCCATTTGGTCATATGAATTGGCCCAGAGTCCCTTTCTTTCTACATGGCAGCCATGCATTTGCAGCTTGGTTTATGTACACCAGTATAATCTCAGCCATGGAGCTGGTAGCTGATGTGACCATTGATGTGTCATTTGGTATCACTGGTATTGGTGCATCTTTTGTTATTACTAGTATGGATGTTATAGATCTTCCCACTACAGAAGTTGGAACCAGAGCCAGACAGCCTCCACAAACTGGATAATTTAATAGAAAACATAGCATACAAGCCGGGTTTTTCCATGTAATTATATACAAATGCCAGAGTGAGAGTGCAAGGGGAAGAAACCTCTCAGGAAGAAATTCGCTGTACCTTCATTCCACAAAGCCTCTTCTTCAGCTGGCGTATATTTCTTCCTCTCCATTTCTTCATCCTGAAAAATTGCCCCGCTTTGCTAGAGGCTCAAAGCACCAGGGGACACTTTTGGAATACTGGAAGTGTTCATAGCAGCATCCTTTCTCCAAACATTCATCAGCGGTGATGCCAGAATACCCACATTGAACCCTGTCTCTTGGTGCCATGGCACACTGCTTAAGAGGCCCTTAAAACAAAAGAGAGTCAGAAAAGCAAAAGCACAGTCTGGATTGGGTAGTCATGCCTCTACAATAGTGAGCTAAAGAGCTTTTTAAATATTATGCTACTGTGGATAAGGCCTCATTTTGGGGATGAATTTGAATTTCTCACCTCTACTGCTTTGACCTCAGCTCCCCATTTAGCTTCACTTGCCACTAGGGTGACTCAAACCCATCACTGTATCTAATATTTCCCCATATGTTCCCCCACAGGCACTACGGTCGGGTGCGAAACATCTCCTGGCAATACCAGGCCTGAAGGAGGCCAGGTTGGCCATTACCAGGGCCAGGGTTTTTTTGGTGGTGGCTCCTACCTGGTGGAACGAGCTCCTGGAGGAGATCAGGGCCCTGCGGGACCTAATGCAGTTCCGCAGGGCCTGCAAGACGGAGCTCTTCCGCCAGGTGTTTGAGTAGGAGCCGCCACTACGGTACCATCATTACCTAGCCCTGGAACAAAGAACGCCGGCATTGTCCGGAACAGAGGACACTGAGCTGGTAGAGCAGCAGTAAGTTCGTCATCTTTGTGGAAGATAAATTGGAATATCTGGAGCACTTTATATACGTAATTTTGTAATGTTGTATAATGTTTTAAATGGTTTTTAAAATGTTTTTATGTGTGGGCGTATGCGCTGACGTTGGGGGCGTGGCTGAGCTCGTCGGAGGGGAAAACCATATGGTTTTCCCCTCCGACGAGCTCAGCCACGCCCCCAACGTCAGCACGTCGCCCGTCACTTCCGGCTCCCTGGGTGTGCAAAGGCAGAGTGAGAGGTCTAGTAGGTGATGACGTCATACTGGTATAAACATGCAAATAAGGGACCAAGATGATTGGTTCAAATGCTGATGTCAAAATGACCCAAAAATGCAGATATAGGAAAGGGCTGAAGGAGAGGCCAAAAATCAAGCCAGCCCAGTGATGAATACAATGATTTCATGACAATATATCCATTGAGACATGGCATCAAAGCAAATATTTTGCATTGCTACAGCTCATCTATCCTTCATCAGATTTATTTTGGTCAGACTGAACCTTGTGCTAGGTAGATGCTTCATGCCAAATTTCACATTCCTTGGGCAAATCATCTTGATTTTATGATGAACAGAATGGTAAAGGACTGAAAGTCACACTTTGCAAATGTTCCCACGTGACTTCCTCCAGCTATGTTTTCTTGTGGGAATTTTTGTTGACAGCTGCTTGTGAGAACAACTTACTTGCCAAAATGTTCATACAAAACCATTTATATTTGTTCATTTATACCCCACTTTTCTCCCTAATGGGAACCCAAAGTGGATTACAACATTCTCCCCTTCTCCATTTTATCTTCACAACAACCTAGTGAGGTAGGTTAGGCTGAATGTGTGTGACTGGCCAGTGGTCACCCAGTGAGCTTCCATGGTAGAATGGGTGCCACTTGGTGACGTATAGGAGCTATGCATTGCCAGGTCTGGCAATGCATAGCTTTCTTTCCATTTTGGCAGCCATAGCAGCAGTTGGAAGCTCAAAGGCTGGGGTTGTGGCTACCTCCTGTGACCTGGGTAAGTCTGGGAGATGGGCCAGGCTCAGACAGTTGAAGTGTACCCCTACTTCAATGAACTCAGAAGCATATAACTCTTCTTAAGATGGCACTGTAAGTGCCACTACATTCCATAGAAGTATTACCTATCTGCTGAGTTGTTTCACTCTGAAATCAGCCTCATAAGCAAGTCATTAATTGTGGATAACATTCTGTTTCTTTCAGCAGTGTTCAAATGAGAAGTGCCAGGTGGCTCATACCCATAAAAGTAGTCAGGCTTTGTATTGTTGGCAGTTTTATCCCCAGTGCAGGCCTTCATGAATATCTTTTAAGCTACACCAAGCTCCAGTACATCTAGCAGAATTTACTTTGCTGTCCTTGCAATCTCTGTCCCACCTTCCCTCTATTGTCTTTGTCACCGTTTTGGATTGTGTGCTGTTTTGGGCGAGGAGCTGTCTTACAAAATCCTGCTAAGTGCCATGTCAGAATAATCTCTAAATATAATTCCAGTACTCAAAAGGCCAAAACCAAGTAACACCTAATTCTATTTTTATGGGAAGAATAAATCACAGATTTCATGAATCTCACAATGCAGTTAAGGAAATAATATTATCAGTGCAGTTAACTAACAGGATATTATACTCCTTCCTGGGCCATTTATTCTCATTCCTGGTTTCTGAAAATACTTCTTGTAGTCATTGGTTATAATAACCCCATTGCCTTCCCTGCACATCTGCCTGACCTTCTTGCTTTTAGAACATATGTCTCTGCAGCAAACTTCGCTTTGGTATTACCTGTGTCAGACAGAGGGTGAAAGCACCATCGTGTACTAGCAACATATGAATTGAAACAACATCTTCTTTCTTGGCATTCCTCTGCGGTGATGCCTGGATATCCACATTCTTTTCTTGCACTCCTATCCATGACACAATGTCGGGACACTGTTCAGAAGTGTGAGCCATATTACTACCATCCATAATTTCAACAGATTTTCTATTTTTTTAACCAGTGGTAAGTATTGTAGGCAGGGCCACAGAGAAGGTAACCTGAGGCAAAACATACTCTTGGGGTCCTCCTTCTGCAGCCCACCCCCAAACACTGTTAATAGTCAACATAATGTATTTACCTACATGGGATATCTACAAAATGAAAGTATTATATAGCTTAGTATGTGGCATTTTTATTGATAATAAATTCATTATTAATTATCAGTATTGATTCACTGGATAGGCGAATAGTGTCCGTATCTGATTGTTTTAAGCGATTGCCCTGAACATCAAAGGCAAAAGGTCAGGCACCTTCTATCCTTAGGCGTTATGAACCAATACACTAGGAGTCTTCAGCCTTTTAACATTCCTGGTAAGTTTTCCAGCTTTGCACCCCCATGCCCCTGATTGTTGTTCATGAACAATAAAGATGCTTGTTATAGACTAATGCTTAGGGGAGAATTCTAATATTTTGTCATAGAACTGTGCGCTCCACTCCTATATTTTGAACCTTGGTTCACACATTATTTCTACCACATCAATAGGAGTCCTCTTCTGGTTGTTTGGAACTCAGAAGACACAGGGAACTCCTGTCCATCAAAATTCTGAACAAACAGCAGGGAAGGAAGGTTTATTGGCTTATCATAATCTGCATTTAAGGACAGGCCTGAGGTCCATTGCAGGAATTTGTTGCATTCTCTGCTCCCTTTGCTATATCAGTTTACTTGTATTAGTACTTCTGGGAGCATGATTACCTACTGCCCTGTGATTTTTTTTCTTGAATCCTTGGAAAAATCAAAGAACATCAATATAAAGCCATTACCATCAGTTACCGGAGGGTGAAAGCACTTGGGTTCATCAGAAGCCTTCCTATCATAACAGCATCCAATTCTCCGGCACCTCTTGTATGTTATACCAGGATATCCACATTCCATTCTTTCTTTGATCATTTTCTTTGCAAACTGAAGTGAAACTATGGGAACAATGGCAATAGTCTCAGCTAAGAATGACAATATCATGTTGTCCAGACCAAGATATGGCCTACTACTAGCTTAAATTTCACCCATCAAAAACTATCTGAAATAGAAAATGCCTTAGGCTGATTCATGTAGCTTCCATGATCATGTGGTTGTCACATCACATGGATCATCCCTTTCATGCTGAAATTCTCTATGTGGCTGCGTCAGATTTTTAGATGCAACAGGAGCAGGTGACAAGACAATGAGATAAATCCATGTGGAGAGTCACACTCATTAAGAGAGCCCCACCACAACTGAGGTGGAGCTGAGGCTCAGAGGTAGAGCTTGGTATACACAAGGCCCCACATTTTATCCCTACCTTCTCCAGGTGAAAGGATCACGTGATAGGTGAAAAGAAAGACCTCTACCATTGGGGAGCCACTGCCAGTAAGAGTATACAATAATGACCTTGATAGACCAATGGCCTGACTCTAAGACAGTAGCACCCATAATTGCACCACCAGTGAAATATGAATTTGGAGCAGGGAGAAGGCCATAGGAGTCAGCAATATCTTCCAGAAGCCAGATTGGAAGGAGAGACTGATGGGGATCACCTGAGCATGAAAGGAGAGATTCTGTTCTCATTGATACATTCTTATCTCTCCACCCAACCATATACTCCTGTCCCTTACACTAAGGTCCTTTGGGTATTTTTTTTTTAATTAAGAGAAGCCAGAAGTCATCTGAAAAGCCTAGCTTTCAACAATCCAATGGCCCTCCGTTTTTTAGGTGCAGAGTCTACTTGGGTGCCTTCCATTTTACTACATTATTATTATTTTTTAAAAAAAACCCTAAAGCGTTGAGGCTTTTTAAATAGTTGTGATGCAATTCTCAGAATGGGGTCCCACTGCTTTAATATGCTCCTACAGTGAGGCATACGTTCCTGGTTTGAGAAGAAAAAAGAAAAGCAGGGAGGTATCACTCTACGAGCACTCATCTTTTAAATAAACTGTAGGAATTAACAAAGCACTGGAAAAGCTTTCAAGTGGGGATCATTACTCTTTCAAAAAAATACGCTGTATTGCAAAAAAAAAAGTATTAGAAGTGGCAGTGTGGTTATTCCCCTGCGTTAAGGATACTTGGGCTGCGGTGACATGCGGCAGTTGGAGCGGAGGGGAAGGAAGGCTATTTCCTCCGGAGGAATTTGACACATAGTTGTGAGATCACACATCCCATTGAATCTGTGTGATCAGACACAACCATGGGTGAGTTGTTTTTCCCCCCCGTTTGTTACCCATGCACTTAAACGAGGAATTGAGGAATTGCAACTCTGCACTGAGGGCTCCCTATGGAGTTTGCGATGATGCGCATACTGCGAAGGGGGGGGGACCAACAAGGAATTGCAACTCTGCACTGAGGGCTCCATATGGAGTTTGTGATGATGCACATACTGCGAAAGGGGGGGGGAACAACAGCATGGAGTCGGGATGGAATGATCAGACCATCCCGATGGTATGAGAGCCTGCTTGAGCAATCAGACAGGGGAAAGTTCATCCGTGGCCCGTCACAGCCAGTTAGAGCCGGACTTTCCCTGGTGTCTTTTAACTCTGCTTCTGTGGCAGAGCAGCATGAATTGCTGGTGATTGTGGGACCTTTCCCAGATGTTGCTGTCTGATCATCTCCTTTAGATCCATCAGGCATTTGTGGCTATGTTGGATCTAAAGGTGTGTGTGATTACTTAGGAATGGGCTATCATGCTGCATAAACACATATACAGTTTCAACATGTAATGCAACAAATCCAATCTGTTTGTGTAATTTGGGCAGAGTTTCAATAAAGAACATTTTTGTTGTTGTTGCTGCTGCTATTGTTTTCTGCTTGTCATCCTCTCACTTACCTTCTTATAGTGATAGTTCTTCTCATTTGCATATTCTCTGAAATCTCAATAGATAAAAGAGAGGGTACAAGAAAACCATTGGATCTGTTAGGGTTTTTTTTTTAAGCAGCTGGAGAGGCCCATGGAATCTAGCTGTATTTTTACAAGGCTCACCCCACTAGGAACTATATTATAATTCCTTCCTAGAAAATTTTTCTTCTTGTGCCTAAAGCTGAACCTTGTGGTGGGCTTGATTTCACAGGTTCCCTTTATTCTTCAAATTACTTTTGCACCTGGTAATCTACTAATCACCTTAGCAAACAGCAAGCGTCATCTGGAAAGTTTGGGCAAAGTAGTATTAAAACACAAGTTGGGTGACTTGCTTCCCACCTTTCCCCATGCACATAGAGCAGCTTGTCAAGAATCATTACCTCTCTCTCCAGAAGGATGAAAACACCAGGGCACGCCAGGCTCTGTTGCATCAAAGCAGCATCCTTTCTCTGTGCACTGCTCTGCAGTGATGCCCTCATGACCACAGTCCTCTCTGTCTTTGACATCCTCAAGGCACTGGCATGCATCTGTTTGGAAGGAAGATACTTAAACTCCTTCCTGTTTTTCACTTGCCTTTTACCTCTTCATTCCAACTTTCTATTATGTGTACCACAAAAATGACTGGCACAATGCACATTGCAACTATTTAATTTGATAGCCTTAGGAAACATTGACTATGAACATATGGGCAGCCATACATGGCAGGAAGGCAGCATATGGCCTACCAGTCACTTGTGTAGAGTCAATAGAGAGACAGGAGTCAGCATTTTGGACTAAAGCTGGGGTGTTCAGTGATGGGTGCCTGGTCTCCAGGAAGAAGAAGCCATGGCTGAGGTCAGACTGGCAGTTTGAAGCGTGAGGGAGTCGTGGCAAAAAGAACCTGGAACAACGTGTTCTGGGTATTCCCGGTCACACTTCACCGACTCATGCGGGAGTATATCGGGGAGGAGGCACAAGGGAGCATTCGCACTGTTGGCCCGCCCCAGCGGAGGCACGGCTTTCTTTTTAGTAATCCGGAGATATGCGCTTATGCGCATAAGCGCACAAGCTATTGCGGCTTTCGGCGTTAACACCTTGTTGGTGCAGGATAAACGCGGGATGAATGCGTTCTCCAGGGTTTGCTACCACTTTCACCAGGAACTTTTTAAACTCGGGAGGGAAGCGGTACAAGACAGGTTGAGTACGGCTGGGGAACGCCTGACAGATGTGCCTGTGTGAGGCCCCTTTAATCCATTTGTGAATCGTTTCTGACAGGTGCCTATATTGGGCCAAACTGCCAGTCTGAACTCAGCCCATGTCTCTGTTCAGTTTGAATGGACTCAGAAGAGTGTAACTCTACTTAAAATTCTACCGTTGATTTGCCACCTACTGAAGCTGATAATGTTTACTGTGTGATCCTATGGAGAGTTATTTCAATCTCATTTCATTTTTGGGGGTCTGTTTATATTTGACTCTGCTTAACAGACATTATGTAGGTACCCATAAATAGTTAATATATTTGACGTTCATTCTTTACCTTGGATCGTTTAATTTATTGAGAAACAATACTTACATGGTGGATGACTTGCATTTTGGGGGCAGACAAAGCCTACCCACAGCACAGCTGCCAGGAACAAGCATGACTTGTATTCCTTTGCTATATTCAGCTTATAGACTTCAAGGACATTGATCTAAAATGGGGAAAAAAACCTTGAAACCTAAATTGCTTTAAATACTAATATTAAACTAACCTTTTTAGCCTGTCTTCCAAAAAGGTTGTGTGTGGGTTTGCAACACTGCAAATATAGTTCTTTCTCTCATGCTTGGTTAGTATTTAAACATTTTACATAGCTGGGAATGTGGCTAATACAACTTCGTCATGAGGGGGTGCTTCACTTTAAACATCTGCGGTCTTAAAAAGCATTACAGAAATCAATGCAAGCACAGTCCTTACACTGCAGGTTCCCAGGCAATGGAACCATCATCTCATACTACTGTCTGCTTCACATACAAATTAATTCATTATTTTAAATAAATTACAAAAGACAGTCCAACAAAGTTTAAAAGTTCTCTTTAAAATATTAACTACTTTCTCTATGACATCTTAATTAAATTACCAGAAAAATTTCTATTAACAGTTAAAAATAAATTGTGAGTAAGGATCTTTATAGTGGCTAGAAGAAAAAATGCTGTGATCCAACGAGAGTAATTGGTACAATCGTTGCTGGATCAGGTCCATTAGCGGATGGCTGGTTCTGCCAACCCTGGTTTGCATTGATCAGGGGGGATGGGAATAAATTCTGCCCCAGTGATCTATTTAGGGAATACATGTGCATAGACCTTTGTATACAGAAGCATGCTAGTCACTACAACTGCATGTAAGGATCTACAGAACAATCCTTTCTCCTCTTGACAGCTTACGCCTGTAAAAATACCAGCATATCCTTATTCACAAATAAACCTGTTTTTCTTCAATGTTTCCAAATAGCAAAAAAATAATAATCAATATTATTTGAAAACATGTGGCACTTACATCGAGAAACATACAGAATAAATCATATGAACCCTTGCCTTACTTGAAAAGTTGAGTTGCTGGGAATAAGGAGCTCCATTCTGGCAACCACAGACATGGATACTGGGGGAACACAGCACTTCCTGTCTCCTTCTGTCTCAATGACTCTTTGAATAATTGCTCTTAGTTCGTACATCAGAATCAAATGGCTGTGAGGTTACATAATTCTGGAGCTAAAATGGAAGCTTTAGTTTTCAAAGAACAAAGCACAAAGCACTTGTTTATATGTGACAGTGCAGGCGGCGGGCATAAGGCCAGACTTCCCAAATTATTTATGGGCTCAGCTCATTAGTTGTCCTATGACCAGATCCTGTGAGTGCAATGGGAACAAATAAAGTGCTTAAGGTGGGGCACCACTACTTCTGTGACATGTGTGAGTTAGCCCTTACTCCAAAGACGTGCTGAAATGAAATGTCCAGCCAGGATGTTGTGCTGGTCTGGCACAGCAGTGGTTCACTTTGCAGAATAACCTCATAAAATGGGATTGCAACTGGACAGCATGTTATTGCAGCAGAGACTTATCCTAGGAGTCCCGCAGTCTGTTACTGTCCAAAATGTTGGAAGGAATGGACTGTGCAATGCTGCTTAATACTAGCACAAACATTAGGACTTCAGAGGAGGGTGGTACGCTCAGTAGGGATAGATAGGGCACTTCCTGTACCTTTCTTTCATTCCACTTTGCTTCTGTCCCTTTGTTACACATATTGCTACTCTCTGGAATTCCTTCCTTCCCTCCAGTTATTGTGTACACTCTCTCTCTCTCTCTCTCTCTCTCTCTCTCTCTCTCTCTCTCTCTCTCTCTCTCTCTGTGCCCTCCATAGGGGCCGGACATGCTCTATTCAATTTCTCTTCATCCCAGTTTAAACATATAGCAAGAAACCGGTACACTATCATTCCTGTCAATGGTCCCAGTCACATGGGAGGATTTGCCCCACAAGAGGGATGGATCAGGGGAACATCAAATGGGCATGATCACACCGCAACATCTGGGAAGCGGAGCGCACCCATCCCCGATTCATCCCTTCCAGCCAAAACCACGCATCAAAAAAACCCCTAGAAAACACTACTACCTACCTGAAAATTCGCATCAAGGGCGGCCGTGGGATCGTCAGCACGCCCGTCTCTGGCAACACTTGCGCAGCAGGCTGTCTTGCTCTCCGTTCCGTGGCTTTCCCCCGGCATCTGATCATGCCGGGGAGCAACTGCGCGGTGGCTCGGGGGATCTGTCTGATCCCACCGCTGCGCGTCTTTTTTGATGCAGCTCAAAAAAGCTGCGCTTTGGCCATGTCTTTTCCCCCAGTGTGACCGGGGCCAATAAAGAGCTTTCATTCCTTTTGTAAAGTAACAAGCCTCAATGTGAACATATTCCTAATGTAGCCAGGGCATAACTCCAGCTCCACTTTCACAGAACCACAATATACTCTTTGACGGTTGCAAAATGTTGGTGTATTTTCCAGGCAGAGATCGTGAGCTGAAACACTAGCATAACATTAAGCCTAAACTACCTCAGATCTACAATCTGTCCTAAACTAGAAATGTCCACCTGAAAATGTCTGAGCTCTGCAAACTGGATAACTAAAGAAAGACCACATGTCTGAGTTGGGACAGTGAAGGGAAATCAGTGGCTTCTTGGCTCTAAAGTGCCTAGCATTTGCAGCCATGATGGTTGAATGTGGCCATTGTGGTAAGAAATTTTAGAAATATGGAAGGTTTGGGTTTAAAATGAACCAAATAGTTTATGAAATCCATATATCTGTCTCTGTTTCTTTGCTAGCAGAATAGCAAGGAGGCCTGGCCTGTTCCAAGCCCTTTGTTCTAGGCAAATCTCTTTATCAGTCACCCCGGCAAAACTTCAAAACATTCCAATCCTAGGATTTGAATCAACGAATGTTTCCCCAGGTGTGAGACTTACAATAACCAGCAATAAAAAGGGCAGCTGGTCAGGAAAGCCAGCTTGGGAAGTGACAGTCCCCAATCCAAAATGCAAACTAACTTCCTGAGAGTTCACACGCACCCCACTTTCATCTCAGCAATAGCACCAAAAGGACAGTTTATTTCCCATAATTGGGAAACACCAGGAGAAAACAATGACACTGTATTGATCCTGTGGAATGTGAACTTTTGTTGTGTAAGACCAAGGACGCAATTTCCTGCAAGACAATTTCAACTTCTAAGTGTTAATTTACAACTGTAATATCCTTTGATCATTTGAACTCCTTTGATCATTTGGTATAAATACTGGTAAAATCCAACAGATCGGGGCTGACTCTTGGTAGGAGTCAGTCCGAGAGGCCTCTCATTCTCTGCATGCCTTGGGTGGGGGGAAACTTTGCTTGCATGTTTATTTTTCTGGGTATTTACTATTAATGTTTAGGAAATAGGATTCTACTGTGTTGGCAGGCTGGCATAGCGTCTTGCTGGTCATCTTGCCAGGTAAATCTCTGAATGTTTTTCTATAATAAAGATAAGTTTCATTTTAAAAAGAGACCTTTGAATGTCTCTGCCAGTGCCTTAGTGATTTCCAAGCTTACACCTCTGCCTTTGGTAAGGAGGCATCACTCAGGAGACACACGAACTGAGGGGAGAGAGTGGATGGCACGGGTAAACACATTTTCACAGACACATGCAGCCACATACATTTTTCTCACAACAGCCATCGGTGACCCAGGCTCAAATCCTTTGTCAGCAGGGAAACTGATTGGGCTGGCTTGGACACATGAATAATTATTGTTCAGTGGCATTAAGTATCTTGGAATGGGTAGGGATGCTAACTAATAAGGAAAGCTATCAACCACAGTTTTGCCCCTTCTTTCCTGAAAGGAGATTATCAGTTCAAGGTGGCATTCTGTTTTCTGTTTTGTCTTCACAACTCCTCTATGATTTAGGTTAGGATGAGGCCCAGGATTGGCCCAGGATCGCCCAGCAGTTTTCACAGTTAAGTGAGAATTTGAACCCAGATTTTCCTAACATAATATT